TATCAAGTCTTTCTAAGATATTATTTTTTTTTATACAATGTATTGGAAGTTTTAAAACAATCTCGTATCGATAATTATTGAATCTTTTAATCGAACCCGACGTCAAAATTATGCTCCGGTTCACAATTAATTTTACACTAACAATGTTCTTGAATATTAATTATATTTTTTGCATATTTCGTAGTAACTTCGAACATACGTTAATACAATGAACCCCGTGTAAGACGTAACAGTTTACCCAAGGCTGGGGGAATAGTTGTGACAGGTAAACATATGAAGCACACATAATAGACAATAAAAATAAAAAGCGATACACAATGGATTTCCAGAGTGATAATAAATATGAAAAAAATACATTCTTGACAAACATAAACACATGATGCAAAGGAAATGTCAATTTACTGTCATATGTCAAAACATTCAATGGGGGAAAGAATTTATTTATCTACGACAAATGAAAGAAAGGGAAGAAGTAGTAAAATTCACACAAAAAAAATCCATCAATAACATTCCATCTAAACATCCAAAAACGTCAATAAAATGACAGCTAAGTGACATTTGCTTTGGCGCCAACACGTCAGCGACGTCACTTATGGTTGTCAAGTATAAGATCCCAGTTAGAAAGCTAAGCTCCCTCGATTATGCGCTATTTAAGCTTAGTTTTGCTCGACATCTATTTATTGTAAGTTTCCTAATTTCGATATAACTTTACAGTAAAAAATGTTAAACTAGTACATTATTCTCTCAAACATCAGATGTAATAAGAAAGGCTGTTCATTAATAATTAATAATAAAACTTTCTTTTTCTATTTTTCTTTTACTTTCTTTCGACTTTATAAAAGAGCCAATAAATTCAAAATCAAAAAATTTATCTGAATCATGTCAAAACCAATTAATTAAACTAGATTTGAACATTTACTAACATATACATATCTAACATGAACTTCTAAAAAACTGTAAAGATCCTTATACATCAATTCATCGCAGTACTTAGAAAGTGAAGTGAAGTGTAGAAGTAAACATACATATACATGTGCGCGTACATACCTGCGTGCGCGTTCCCTTGCTGCGGCTGCGTCTGCGGCGCGGCCGCGTTGCGCAGCGACAGCGACGACCCCGACCTGCTGCCGTCCGACTCCGGCTTGAAGGACCAACAGACTTTACGTTATTAATACATAAATATGCTTCTAACGACCCGTTTCTCAACGTTTAACAATTCATTTGTGTTTTTGATTTGAAAAATTTATGAAATGCGGTTCCAAACTTGAGTTTTATCTTATTGAAACATATGTCAACTTAACACTAATGAATCCGACAAACCAGATGGAAATTTAATTGACTAGAAACTTTAGAAAACCAGCATTAATCGATTAATACATACGAAACACATAATCTACAATAAATTATAGCCATTCCTATCGTTCTTTAACATATAAACTGAGATAACAATAAGTTTTTATTTCAGAAACTTACAATAAAACAAAGAATTTGATACGATGAAATTTGGTATAGATGTAGAGCATAGTCTGGAAGAACACATAGGATACTCATTTTTCGATTATTACAATTCCACGAGAACGGAGTCACGGGCGAAAGCTAGTAAAATAAAAAAAAGGACTTACATCAGTACTCTTTCTTCCCAGCAACAAATACGTCGCAAAGACGTCGTCATATTTCGCCTCCGCCAAAGAGAACTCGATCTCTTGTCTATTGTAGCCCAAGCACACTAGCGCCTCTGCGGACATAAAGGGAAACTTTTAAACTCATTTCAAGAAAATACATATACAAACATGCATTTTACAGACAAGCTAAGTCATTCACTCTATACATAGAAAACTATAGCCTTACTAGGAATATAAAAATCCAGACTTTTGCTCTGATCAGTGCAATAGCCTTTTTAATTTCTTTCTAATGTGTAAAAATAATTAGTTTGATAAATTTCCGTATTATTACAATGTTTTTTACATTCCTGTTCAAGCTTTACCCACATATTTACTATTTTCTACTGTAATGAATCCTACTTATTTAAATTTCTTTATTTCGACTGTTTTTCTATGTTCACAATTTTCTTTGATTAATGTCAATTACCTATGTATATACTTGGAGTTATTTTGAAGAAAAAAACGTACATATTAATAATAATAGTATAGAGTAGCAACTCTAATCTAAAATGTTAAAAATGACAAAGATAAGTAAAGTTCACTAACATCTATTTACTACCTAAACAGCAATAGAAAACCAGAAAATGCAATCATTTAAGTTTCATCCTTCTTTACTTTGTTAACTCTTCGTACTTACAAATTTACTCTGAAGCTAGTCTTCGATAAGAGAATATTTACTTGTCAACAATAATTTAACCAAGCATTACAAGAGACTACCTAAACTAACACAAAACTATAAACATGCAGACAAAAGCGAAATTATAATTCTGTCTCATCGGATCACATCTGTCATAGATTAAAAATATCAAAGCTTAGCACACACGCATGTTGATTTTGACAGTTCGTCGCTTTGACAGCACACGTCACTTTGACAGCTGACGTTTAATCTGAACGTTTCGTTCGACGCACAACAAGACAGAATTGTCGGATACCACATAGACGATGAAATAACATTAAAAAGTAACAATCTCGCGTCAGGTCACATACCAACTTGCGCTGTGCCGTTAGTTGTGTTTGCATGAAATGTAAGAACGATTTTTTTTTAAATATTCATATAGCTAAGCGGTGATATAAGATATACAGATATGGTAAAAGTAAAAAGGACGGGTTTTCCTTAAAATAACCATTTTAAACAAAGGCCTATACTAACAAAATGTGCATTTGTCATTAGTTTAAAAATGTAATTGAATTTTCGATTGAGAATAGCGCCATCTAGTTTTGTCTTGGTTTTAATTTATACATATTTATTTATAAGTATACAATTGTCTATATATTTCATATCACTCAATAAAAGCGTATACTTGTAAGTATTAATGTTTAGTTTCTGTAGATTTTTCCATAGTTATTGCAATTTAAGGGTGCTTATTATAGCGTTAGCAAATAGGCTTAACAGCTGTCATATTATGAAGCTATCTATAAGTTGCATTATTTTGTTTTGTTTCTTATTAGAATATGTACTTTTTAGTTGAAACCCTAGTATAAATGTTTTACTAATTAAAATCATCGCTTAACTTGCCATTATTAATTTCAAGAATGTAGGCACATAATAACAAGAATTCTTAATAATAAACCAATATAAAATCCTTAATTTAGAGTCAATCACATCTACTTAAAAACATTTCCTTACATTTCAATCTTCAATACATTCACAACCCTATACCTATTAACATAAAGTACAAAATCCCTACACACATCAACTTATATTGTAATATTGATTCTATTCCAACGTAATAAGGTTGTATTTCGCTCACCTATCCACTATTAAAAGTAAAAATCCCTGCAGACAACTCTACATTACTTCATGGTAATATTGACTCTATATCAAAGGCATAAGGTTGTGTTTCGTTCACCCATCCACTATTACCATAGCAAAATCCCTGCACACCATTTCGAATTAGTTCATAGTAATATCGACTGTATTTCAATGTAATAAGGTTGTAATTCTCACCTATCCGCTTGTGATCTTTAAAATCCTGTTGCGGCTCCACGTACGGCCGCAGCTCGTCCTCCTCATAGCCAGTGTTCATCCATTTGTCTCTCATTATGTTCTCCAAAGAGGCTCTCTTCGCGGGATTCAGTACTAGAAACTTCTTTAATAGATTCTCGCAGTCCGTCGACATGTAGAATGGTATTCTGTAAAATATGAGAAAAAAATGTAGCTCAAACTGGTTAATACACATTTATATAAAGGCAGAGGGTTATATTTTAAATGGCATATTACATAGTTATATGAAAATTGTGCTGAAATTAAAAAAAAGTTGAAGTTACCTCTATTACAAATGTTCTTATTTATATTATAAATGCAAAAGTTTAGATGGATGGATGTATAGAACATATCTGTAGACAGATAAAATTTGTCACAAATGTACATAGTCTGGAAGAACACTAAGACTTAAAAATATATAGACAAGACATAAATCTTGTCACCGGTACTTTCTCAGAAAGGTACTATGTCAATTGTCAAGTTAAATGCCACTTTGTGTCCTTGTATTGACGTGTTACAAAAAAAATTACTAAACTATAGTGGATGGATGGATTTTTGTTAGCGTTGGAGGTCTAAACGGCTGACCGGATCTCTATGAAATTTTGGTACAGGTTTAGAGCATAGTCTGGAAGAACACATAGGCTACTTTTTATCCCGGGAATAGTTACGGTTCCCGTGGGATTCATTAATTTAGATTTTTAATGTTTACTCGGTCATTCTGCAGCGGTTCAACATATGTTATTGAAATTTGGCACAGATATAAAACAAAGTATGGAGTACACATGGGATAAGGTTCATCCCCGAGAAATGTCCGGTTCCCGGGATACGTAGCTTTTTGTTATTTATATAGTTCGCATGTTTTCTAATACCACTCAGACGGAGTCGCGGGCAACAGCTAGTACGACCTTAAAAATCAAACATTGTTTAGTTAATAAATGCGGTTTTACCTGTACTTTCCCCTAAGCACCCTCTCACGTAGTTCCCGCAGCGTGGAGCCATCAAAGGGCAGAGACCCCGACACCAAAGTATACAGAATCACGCCCAGCGACCACACGTCTACTTCCGGACCATCGTACTTCTTGCCTGAAGGTTTACATCAGATTTATATTAGAAAACAACTTATACCATTGTTGATAATTATAGAGGAAAAGGGGCAAAATAAAAATCGCCTCGAGGACATGAACACTATATTTTCACTTGACAGAATTACAGTAATAAGCAGGAATGTAGATTAAAAAAACTAATTATACCATAGATTATAAATGTACCCAATTACAAAAACCATATCAAAGTGAACTTGATTTGCAATTACATACACAGAAGGGGGAATATCGTATTAGTTACGTCTCCTCAGTCGAATAGGCAATGCAAAAACTACAATACAAAAGCAAGATTGCCATGGTAACGGTAATTACCAATAGAAAAAACCTTCATTTTCATTTGTCCATTTGAATATTTTCAACAACATAATAGTTTTATAATTTCATGTGCTAGTTTTTTAAACTTTAATTAAAGAATTTATAAGACAATCATTTCAGACTAGTAATAACAGGAATTTCTGAGTCAATTTAACTACAACTTTCCACTCATGTATACTAATAATATAAAGAGGAATGATTTGTATTTTTTAATGTATTGAAATAACTCAGAAATTATTAGGCCGATTTTAATAATTTACCTATGAGTAACATAGGCTACATTTTTTATTATTTGTTAATTTCACGCGCACGAACGATAATATAAATACTAAAGTTTAGATGGATGTTTATTAGACCTTGTAGCCTAAACTGCTGAACGGATGATTGTCATAGATGTAAAGATAGATAGTCTGGAAGAACACATACGCTACATACTTTAGTTATTTTTAATTCCACGAGACAAAATTTAGTTATAACAAAATTAAATTACACAGTTTCTAGTTTACACTACTTACCTTGGAACAGCTCAGGGGCCGCGTAAGGAGGACTGCCGCAGAATGTATCCAACTTCGATCCCGGAGTGAACTCATTGGAGAATCCGAAGTCTGCTATCTTTATATTCATTTCGCCGTCTAATAGAAGATTTTCAGCCTGGAAACAACAAACAATATTTATTAAATTAGTTATAGTAATTTACCAAAGTACACTAAAGAGCATTGAATCCGGGTTACTTAAAAAACTATTAAACTTGTAAACTAAGAGAGTTAAATTAATGAAATAGATTGTGTTTAGTACACCAAATTAAAACTAGACTTAAGCTTAGTATGCTAAATTGTATTTAGCATACTAATTTAAAATGTTTCTTAGTTTTAAAAATTAGTAAGTTTTCTAAGCGACCCGAATACAATGCTCTTGAGTGTACACATGTTTTGTAATCGCAGTGAGTAAAATGATAATTCAAGTGTTGCTGTTTGGCCTGCTTAGACAGTTATGTACCCAGATGTAAATTAAATCAATATCGTTTTCATGTAATTATTAAGTTATCTTGAAAAATTGTTAAAGCTCTTTAAAATACAGAGGCCGCTTATTCGCTTGCCACCTTATCCATACTAACATTATAATGAGGAAAGATTTGTATTTTTGTATGTATTGGAATGGAATAACTCAAAAACTACTGGACCATCATCCACTTGCCCTTATCCCTTACAGAGGGTCGGCACAGTATGTGCTCTTCCATACATCTCTATCCGTCATATCTGAATCCACTCCTTTCTTAAGCATTTCCTCTTTCACACAATCCATCCATACTTTCTTCGGTCTTCCTCTTCCTTTGTAGCCACCCACATTCTATCTTAACACTTTCTGGTTTATGTCCCCATCATTTCGTCGCATAACATGTCCATACCACGCTAACCTTCTGCTTTTCAATTTCTCCACCACTGGCGCTACTTTCAAAAACTACTGGACCGAATTCAAAAATTCTTAAACCATTAAAAAGCTACGTTATCAGTGAGTAACATAGGCTATTTTATTTAAATTATTTTGTTAATTTCACGGGAGCCAATACGCAATCTAGTAATAATAATCCTTTTACTTCCATATAGATCCACACTAACATGTCTGTCTCGCTAACTTCTATCCATCTCTTTCTCTCATTAGACTTCTCTCTATGTCTATCCCGCTCTCCCGCTCACCTTGAGATCCCTGTGTATGATCCTCTTCTGGTGGCAGTACTGCACCGCGGAGACGATCTGACGGAACTTGGCTCGAGCCTCCTTCTCCTTCATACGACCGTGCAGCACCAGGTAGTCGAACACCTGCAAATTATACGGAATTATGGTTAGTTTAGATCTAGCACTATTATGTACTGATATTATTAAAGATTTCTGTTTTTTGACCGACTTCCCAAAAGAAGGAGGTACTCAATTCGTCTGTATGTTTTTTTTATTTGTATGTATTTAAATAACTCAAAAACTAGGCCGACCTCGAAAACTCTTTAAACATTTAAAAGCTACGGCATCTCTGAGTAACATAGGCTATATTTTTAATAATATTATAAAGAGTAAAGATTTGTATTTTAGTATGTATGTAATAATATAAACTACTGGGCTGATGTTAAAAATTCTCTCACATAAATACCGTTATACTAAGTACATAGGCTATATTAATAAAAAAAATATTCCCGGGCAGACTAGAGGGAAGCAACAACTAGTACTTATTGCTCAGAACATAATAAAGTATAAACAGACACTTTTTTGTATTAATATCAGCAATCACAGCATATCTTTGAATGATTAATTTTTAATAAAAACGCCTATACATACAACATGCTACAAGCTACATATTTCACACTATTAAACATAGGGGGTAAATTAATTAGTAAAAAAATTAAAAGAATAAAAACTATATGGCAATGTTATCAAAGAAACAGTGTTATATTAACGGTAATTGTTATTCTAATTGCTGAACTGATCTGAATAAAATTTGTCAAGCTACTTTTGTTTTATTTAATTTCATGCGGACAGAGTCGCCAACGAAAGCTAGTAATAACTCTAACTATAACTCACCTCTCCGCCAGACGCGTACTCCATCACGAGGTAGAGAGTCTTTTCTGTCTCTATCACTTGGAACAGTTTCACAATGTTCGGGTGGTCCAGCATTTTCATTATCCGGACCTGAAAATCATAACATATCTTCCTTATAACAACTAAATAGACAGACCACATTGTAAACAAGACATTAGTTTTAAAAATTAAACATTATTAAAGCGCCTACCAATTAAAAATAGTTTTGAGACTATTGTGAATATTCACTGCATTACGAATTACAAAGAAGGTACTCGAACGTTCTAGAACATTCCTTTAGACATAATATGTAAAATTTAAGAAATGCTCAATCTATACGGGAAACTATTGATCAGTGGTAGATGTCGCTTTAACATCTTCGCACGAATGGTGCAATACCAGGACCACACAGAACAGGCGTGAAGTGGGAGCAATTCCACGTACGCTGATGAGTGTGGTGCCGTATGCCTAATTTTGGTCATATTTCCTTCCCATAGTTATAAGAAAAGGATGGGAAGGGAAAGTGGATTCGACGGTGAAAGCGACGCATAGGAAAGGAAAATATGTTCTTTATGTGCGCCTCCTTCTCCGTTGATTGAGAGTAGGCAAAGCATCTGCAACTGCGGATGTATGTGGGCAGTGGTTGCTTCGATTTCTCGGCGGATACATGTGGCCACCCGTTTGCCACCTTATTATATGAAAATAACTGACCTCTCTAAACAGCTTCTGCAGCGAGCCGGGATTGAGCTGGGTCTTATCGATGATTTTGATGGCCACCTCCTTCCCGGTGGGCACATGCTTGGCCAGTTTCACCTTCGCGAAGTTACCTTTACCGATCGTCTTCAATAATTTGTACTTGCCTGGAAACATATATACAAACCATCAATAAACATAATTTAATAATCATAAAAATAATTATTGCTGACAACTGCTACTTCTGTCTGGTGGCCAAATTATAGTCTCTTTCCTTCATCTTTTTTTTGCAAACCTTAGCTTAGGAGGTTATGTATAAGAACGGAAAATATCTCATTTCTGCTTCCCCTCCTCCGTCTATTACAAGTAAACATCTGTAAACTCTTAACTAGTTAGAGATGTCTAGGTTTAGCGGTTACTTTTAATGAAATTTGGTGGCCATTTTAGTATGAATGGATTGTGTAAAACAGGATATGCTTAAGGGAGTGGATTATTAGATATGACGGCTGATACAAATGTATGGTAAAGTAGCACATACTGTGCCCTTTATTGGGACAAGGGCAATGATAATGGTGGCCATTTGTGACAATATCTACAATAGATACTGACCAATATGTGGCTCCTCCGAGGTACGGGAACGCGAGGAGACACGCGCGCTGCCCCCCGACCCGCCGCCCCCCGCGCCCGCGGACGATTCCGACGCGCTCTACAAAAAGACATATATAAAAATTAATTTACACATTTAAACCGATTTATTTTATTCTTTTGTAATGTTTAAAACAAATTAGTGTATTAAATTTAGTCCTTTACAGTGTAACTTTACCGAGAACCAGTAAATTAAAGAAAATGACCAAACAATAATATAGTCTGTCGTAGATTACTAAAAAAAAATAATTAATCATTTATTTAAACAACTACGACGTTTTGTTTAAATCAAACTCTCTTCTACAAATCAATTACAGTCTCAAGGACTTTGAACAAACAAGATCTAAATAACGAAAAGATAAGAGTAATTTATTTAGGATTCCACTAAGGGACCTAAGCAAAGGACGTTTCAGAGTTTAAGCAAACTTGAGAGTAATTGATTCGGTCTTCAAGAAGCGTTCAAGTTTGATTTACAGTCGTTTTAAATATAAGAAATATTCCTTATTACTTAAAAAATGTTAAGTGCAAAATATTAATAGAATTAATCAATATTTTGTTGTTAAAATAACGAAATGTTTACTACAAAAAAACAATAGAGAACTTTAACCATTTATAAATTTCGACCACTTTATTAATAATTATAATAAGCCTCTTGGTTTGCATAAAAGGACAAATCTCAAACTCATTAATCATGATCAATCTAATACTAGTTTCCATTAGGTAAAAAATAAAAATAAGTATATTATTAGACATGATAACAAAGATTCAAATACAATGTTTCCACTAGCAGAAACGGCGACTCTGTGCGCGTTAATTCAACAAGCATTATTTTTATTTTTCCACAAACTCCGACTCTCATATAAATACGGCCAATCGCACGGATAACCACTTAGTGCAAATTGATTTAATTAGTATTAAAATGGGCTATACCCCGTGTAACTTCTGTATAGCTTTGGCTCTTCGTCTCCTCCGCCAGAGTTTAGATAAAAACACAGGAGCCAAAATTGGCAGCACTCGATGACGCATCGTTTGGGGATTTATTTTGATTGATTATAGATCAGATATCTAAATAAAATCTAGCTTAAAGCTAGATTACTTGCTTTTATATCGACGAGTTGTGCTTTGTTATATTGTACAATTATATCAAGACGTTTAAAGTAAAATTTCGCCAAGTATCAAGATCGATAAGTCGCTTTATTTTGTTCTATATTTATTCATAAAACCACAATTATACACAAATTAAATATTTGTTAGCATACTAAAGGTACTGGCAATATTCTATTTTAATATTTTAGACGGATATATGTCGTTTAGCTGGTATCTATGGTTTTCGGACACCACAACCGATGTTATTAAAAAGTTTTTTACTGTATCTTTTATCCTAGTATTTCTATATACTATCAATACATTTTACTAATAACATATAAAGCTTATTAATATCTTTTAGTAGCGTTCGCCCTCGACTCCGTCCGCGTGGAATTAAAAAAAAGTGAATAGCCTAAGTGTTCTTCCAAACTATCATCTATATCTGTACCAAATTTCAGTCAAATCCGTTCAGCGGTTTAGGCTACAAACTCTATCTATCCATGAATCTAAACTTTCGCATTTATAATATTAGTATGAAGTATGATAATCGCTAGCTTCATTCACGACGGAAACTTCTTGATACTTTCCTCATTCCCTCTTCGCAAACTGCATGCAAAATATTTATTACTCTCACCAACTGTGCATAAGGGTACTCTAACTTAGATGTCGAAAACTTAGTCCTAAGACTGTCTAAACTTTAACATTGTTGTAATGAGAAATCCTAAAATGCTAACTCAATTAAAATAATTGCAGTTAAATTTAACTACAGAATTACAATAATTATCTTAAGACTAACTTTAAGGTTAAACTTAGTTTTTTTAGCGTTTGACTTTAATACTCATCAACTTAATTAAGTAAAAAAGCATATGTAAGTTACAATATAAATTTTCTTTGACTAATGCATTTTTTAAACGCCTATATCAATTTTGAAGCGTGAGATATCAAGTAATTTTTTCTTGTTTGTTAACTTTTGCTTAATAGAAAGGATTTGGATTTTAGTATTTTCGTATGAATTGAAATAACTCAAAAATTACTGGAGCGATTTCAAACATTCTTGGACCATTATACAAATATTAGACAACGTCTCAAGGCGAGTTGATTGCCTATAACAACTTGTTTTATGTTATTTATTGCTTGTTTGTGATTACTGTACGTTTAATATTAAGCAATGTTCCGTTCACTTGGGAAGCGTTCGATCTGTGCCCGATCTGAGGAGAATTATTGTACCAATCTATTACGCCACGCTTTCCACTATCTTAATTAGGGATAAGATGTAATTCGTATCACTTTTAGGTTGGGTATTAAAGGACTTGGTTAAGAAATGGATTTATGCTCTCGTTGTGTGTGTGTTTTTTAATTTCGCGAGGACGATGTCGCGGGTAACAGCTAGCATAATATTATCGTAAAGTTATCGTTTGTATTATTCCAAATATTTTTTATCTCTTTCGACATATAAGCGTCTTACGTATCAATATACCTGAAAACACAAAGCACAACTAAGATAAACTATGACAATTTCGCAGACTCGCAAGCGAACAACCGTTACCGAGGTACGCTATAATACTGAGGGATAAGGGATGAGGGTTGAGGGTTGTGAGGACTGGGCTATTAAAAGACTGTAGCAAGTGATGCACGAAGCATACACGTGCCCCCTCAGCCAGACAACCTACATTTTGTTGTCCGTTGAAACGCGAGTAGCCGTAAAATGTATTTATACGCGTAAAAAACGAAATTATTATTTTTAAATAGCTATTATGTACCCTTAACATATTTTTTAACATATTTTACAATACTTAGAGTATCTACATGTTATAAACGTTTACACGTGAGGTCTACCTCTGCCTGTGTACCCCTTCACATTCATAACTAACGTCCTTCTTGTTACATGCGATTCATCTCTTCTTATCACATCACCAGCTCATTATACGTCCCCACTGAGGGGCTCGGAGCCTACCCTAATAAGGGGTGTCTAGGCCATAGTCAACCACGCTGGCCAAGTGCGGGTTGGTTGACTTCACACATATCTTTGAATTTCTTCGCCGATATGTGCAGGTTGCATCACGATGTTTTCCTTCACCGTAAGAACGTCGGGTAAATTATATACATATGAAAAATCGAAATATACATTGGTACATGGCAGGTTTCGAACCCAAGACCTGTAGATTACAAGTCAAGTGCTTAAACCACTGAGCCACCGACGCTCATTCTCATCATCTCTCTCTTCAATCTCATCTCTTCTTATAACATGCCCATACCACGCTAACCTTTTACTCCTTATTTTCTTAACCACTCTGGCTACTTTTAAACTACCTCTAATATACTCATTGTGTGTAGCCTTCCTTGTTTAGTTCTATTATAAACTGAATATCATGTTTTGTTGATCGTACATACATATCGTAATTAAAAACCACTCCAACCTTACTAAAAAACACCTTAAATAAAAGAAGCCGACACAATAAAGTATCAAAGAACAGTTACTAATATCTCAGCGTATTTTCCCACTATTGTATATATTGTAGTGCTTACATTGTACTAAGTGCATTGCACTTTAAAGCAAGAGTACCTTTAGTATAGTGATATACAAACTTAATAACAGCTCGATTATTATACACATTTATAACAGCGGGACATAAAGCGATGGCGGCTTTCAATCAAGTATTCCGATCTTGGATAGATAAATCGCAGATGCCAAGCTGCTATTAAGTTTGATTATTTTAATACTTCATAATTGAATTAATTAAACTTCAGGGCTACTAAAAGACGCAATTAACTACAATACTAACTTACCCATTAAATAAAAAAAATCACTGTGGATTTAAAACCGAAACACTATTAATAACATATCGCCATCTCTGTTCTATAAACAAATAGAATAGCAACATGTTTCAGTGACAGTGAAAACTCACACTTAAATCCATGTCAATGAACTCATATCAAGAATCTAGTATCTCTCTCGTCTAGACAAGTACCCCTATATTGTGATATTTTATCTGCCCGCTCTTACCTGTAACAAAATAAAAAAAATACTATTAAAAGTAAATAAAAACGTACTTGTTAAAATTTATAAAAAGCACTACCAGCAAACTATATACAAATATAAATTCTATAAACATATTTATTTCTTTTAAAATAACCGATTAGCTTCCAGTCAATTAATGACCAATTTCCCCAGCTTTCTTTAACAATTCGTTAGTGTTTCTCGTTCGACAAATACATGAAATGCGTTTCCAAACTACTTTACTTAAGTTTAACTCCATTTAAACGTAGGTCAAATGAATTGCTAATGCAATGCTTGGTTATAACAAAATACATGAAAACTTCAGAAACCCAGCATAAGTCAAGTACTTCAAAAATATCTTATCAAGACAAGGGTCTAAATGTATTGGTAATCTTTAATTATTTATACCTAGAAATAATAATACAAAACTAATAGAAGGAAAGAAATATCAGAACTTAATAAATTAAAATATACTTTAAGACATATACATAAGGTATATTTTACAATAACATTCATAAGAGGATGTATTGAAGAGGGAATAAAGTAAGGCTTTGTCCCGGATATCCGGCAGAGCATCCGTCGGCAGGATAGCGCAAAACATAATATGAAAGCCTCCACAAATGACAAGAGAAAATGTTACCATATATTGGCTTTATGATCAGATATTCAGATATTTATATTCTATATAACAGAAATATAGCAAAAGGACTTATATATATACTATAATTATAAGGAGAAAATATTTGTATTTTTGTGTATTACAATAATTCGAAAACTACAGGACCGATTTCAAAACTATCATCGTTAAAAAGCTACCTTATCAGTATCTACCTTAAAGGAAATATCTATGATTTTTTATTTTAAGCGGACGAAGTCGCGGACAACAGTAGTAATTTCCATTCTTCGTTTGTCTGTTAGATGTCTTAAATCATAGGAAATAATTTGAGAAACTCCAATATATTTAGTAGGTCTCATCT